ATATCCCGCTCTTTCTTTCCACAACCAAAGACCCTTTTAGCTTCCATTATTTTTTTCTCTATCTTTCTTCCTCTCTTTTCTTTCTTTCTTCTTTCCTTTTCTTTCCTCTATTTCCTTTCTTTTCTTTCTCCCTTTTTCTTTCTTCTTTCTGTTTTCTCTCCGGGCGTGACACGCCTCCCTATTTATAGGGGAATAAGGCACTACGTGACAGATTCGGTAATGATTTCACAGATTCGTTCTTATCCTTAGTAGATATTTAAGATAATTACCCTTTAACCTAATATTTTAATATAATTATATAAATAAATTAATTCTTAATTAAATTACACTTTATCTTATACTAAGAGAAAATTAATTATTTATTTTAGAACCACACCCATTATTATTATTATTATGTATATTATCTATCTTATTATTATTATTTATATTTTGACCCCTAAATTTTTAATAATTATATTATTTTACAAAATTACACATAATAATATATAATAAATTATATATTTTCCGAACTGAGATTAAATAATATTAGTATAAATTCTACAGAATAATTAAAAATCTGGGTCGTTACAACATTGTGCTCCTAATATGGCAGTTCATAAAAGATACTCTTTTTCTTCCAGTTATAGGTGTGATGTCCAGCTTTTTCTACTTGTCTCCTATGCCTCTCCTTAAGGTCATCCCTCTTGCATTGGGTTAAAATACCCTCAGATTCTAATTGTAGCGACATCTCAGTTCCAGACAACAATTTTGGTTTGAGTCTTACTTCCCGACTACCATCAAATGATACTTTATCCTTCCGAAATTTATGGCCACCAGGTAAAAATCTGCGATGACACTAGTATGATTGTTTCCTACTATGCTTTAACCAACACGATGTAGTTTCCTTATTGCAACTAGGACATGTATATTCGTCTTTAGTGCTCCATCCTGACAAGTTTGCATATGCAGGAAAATCATTAATTTGTCCACAGTAAAGCTGCATGCATTTGAAACATTTGATTTGTTAATGCATCAAATGTTGACACACACTCATTCCATAGTTCTTTCAACTCCTCAATCAACGATTGCATATACACATCAATCTTATCACCAGGTCCTTTCGGGCCGTCAATAATCACGGATAAAATCAGAAATGGTTGCTTCATACACATCCATGGCGGCAAGTTGTATGGAATGAGCACAACAGACCAAGTGCTATGAACTATGTTCATCGTCCTGAATGGGTTAAAACCATCAGATGTTAAGCCAAGCCTTACACTTCGGCAAACATTACTAAAGAAGTCAATATTCCGACGTTCAAAATCTTTCCATGCAAGGGAGTCAGCAAGATGCCTAAAGACACCATCATCAGTTTGTTCCTCTGCATGCCATCTCATTAACTTGGCCGTCTTGGATGACATAAACAACCTCTGCAACCTTGGCTTTAAAGGCAAATACCTTATCTGTTTTGCAACTATTCGTTTGCCACCTTTGTTAAGACCATGTGAACCACCATCACCATTTGATTTCTATCTAGAATTGTTGCATATGACACATTTATCAAGATTGGTGTTCTCGTTTCGAAACAACATGCAACTATTAGGACATGCATCCCACGTCTCATACGTGAAACCTAAATCTGTTGTGACCTTTTGAGCTTTATAATATGAGTCTGGGAGTTTCACTCCCAACGGGAACGCCTCATTTAATAACTCAAGCAACATGTCAACAGACTTGTCTATCCACTGATTAAGCACTTTCAAATGTAGAAGTTGAACAATGCATGACAAAAATGTGAACTTCTGACAACCCGGATACAATTCACTTTGTGCATCTTGAAGAAGTTTGAAATACTTTGCAGTCTCTGCATTTGGATCGAACTGGGGTTCAGATGCATGGGGATCAGGCCCCTGTGGTTCATTACCCTCAACACTTGTACCGGCATGTGGATTTCCCATAGCCCCTTGTATCATTCCAATCATATCATCCCCAATGTCTAAATTAGCTAATGTTTCATTCTCTCGATTACCATGCAGAGATACGTAAGACTCCCCATAATTAATCCAATGTTTGTATTTTTTTAAAAAAACCATTCAAAATCAGATGCTCCCGTACACCCTCTCGTACAAGATGGTATCGATTCTCACATTTCTTACATGGACAATTGATCATCGAACCTTTAACCCTATTGGTGTAGGCAAACACAAAGAATTCATCAATCCCATTAATGTATTCGCTCGACATCCTATTTGGCAAATCAATCCAACTCTTATCCATCATCTGTACACATCCACAAAAATATTTCATCAAAGTAACTCTAATATAATACCTACGTATTCATATACCATGACACCTATCCGTCCAATTTCTCTTAAATAGGTAGGTGGTCTTATCCCAGTTAGTTATTTGCCGATTTGATGGGAGAACATAAAAAATGAAATACTTATACAACAACACGCGAGACAAATAAATGTTGCAAAACACCAAGTAACATACTTTCATTATAAATTCAAAATTTATTTAAGGGAACTTTTCAAACTTAAAATGATATTGTAATAAAAAATTATTAATTTTAAAATTTAATAATTATAGGGACACTAACAGACATACTAACTAGATATTATTAGATAAGCTCTATGTTAAGTATTGAAATCTATATACATATCTTGAGTTTTGATCAATTCCAGAAACTTCTAAAATTAATGACCGAATAAATAATTTAATGACCAAATCCATTGTGATTGTAATCCTCATTCACTTATTTTAAATTTATACCATATGATAAATTTTAAGATAAAAATTTCAACATTACAAATTCAGATTTATGAATTCAAAATTTACTTAAAAATCAATGATTCAAATTTATTTTATTTATAAATCTCACACTTCATTAATTTAATTTTTACTACACAAATATGTTCGGAATAAATTATGAATGGATAAGAATGAATTCATAACATTTTTTTAAAAAATTTATAAATATGTAGCCTTGATCACATTTGTAGCAGCTGCATGTGTCTCCAACAGCTTAGATATGTTTAGATTCGTCATTGGCCCATGTGTGGCAAGGTCGACACATGCCAACTAATTAACTTGTAAGAATGTAATGGACATGACATGGGAGCATCATGTAAAGGACATTGACACATGTATTCATATAAAAGTTATAATTTATAATTTAAATTATTATCGTTAATAAAATTTACATTAATTTGTAATTTTTTTTTAAACATACACTTAAAAGTACAATTTTTCCACAATCTTATTAATAGGAAATAAGAAATTTTATGGCTCGGATCTCGAATATTTGATTATTTATAACTTTTAAGTCTGCTATTTACATATTGTCAGTCATTTTTACTATATAAAAAAAATAAATCAAATCTTAAAAACGGAAGAAATGGTGAAAAGTGAGGAAGAAAAAGAAGTAAAAATAAAAACTTCTGAAATGAATGAAACTAAACATGAACATGAGGGATTCACTCGAGGAGATCCTTCTTCCCTTTTATTTTTTTTTTTATGAAAAAAATGAGGATCTAGACAAAATCAATTAAACAAAAGAGATCTAAACAAATTATGAATTCCACTTTTCACTAAAAAGAAATGATTTTGTTAATGTGTGCCTTCAATGTGCATGTTAAAATACTTTATACGATATATACATTCTGCATGATAGAAGAAGAAAAAAAATGAGAGAAAAAAAAAAAACGAAGGTAATGTCTAATTCATTCACTTTATTTTTTTCATTTTCTTTTCCCTTCATATTGGTTCAGTGATTAAACTTGACCTGTTAACCTTAAGACCCTAAGTTCAAACTTGAGGGGAACCATTTTGTACAAATAATACCTTAGTGTCTACTCAACCTATCCTGTGGTTCATTACACTAAATAATTTACACTAATCATATATATTCATGTATATATATATTTTTTTTGAACAGCTAATACATATATATATATACATACAAAGAGAGAGAGAGAGAGAGAGAGCATACGCTGAGTGAGAAAGTCATCGCCGGACCACTGCTAACTGTCGTTGTCGCCCACCACCACACCACCGCTAGCTGTAATACGCCGTCGTCGCACCACCGCTAGCCGTCGTCGACAGTGATTGAGCCTGCTCGCCGTTCGTCACTCGTCTAGAGAGAAAGTCGTTCGTCGTTCGTTGCTCGTTTGGGGATTTTGGGGGAAAAAAATATGTTTCAAAGATTTAGGGATTTCGATCCAAATGATCGAGCGCTAAACAATGGAGAGAGCGGGGCAAATTTTTTTTTTTTACTTTTTACAACGGTACATTTTACACTGTCGCAAATGATAAATAATTATAGATAAACTGACGCCGTTTTGATAAGGGCTTTTTTGCGACGGACATTTGCCGTCGCAAATTGTCCACTATTTGCGACAGTAAACTTATGCCGTCTCAAAAAATTTCTTTTTTGAGACAGTAAAAAACGCCGTCGCTAATACTTCCGTATTTATCACACTTCCCATGTAGGTTTATTAGCGACGGTACAATGCTGTCGCTAAAGCTCTTTATTTGCGACGGTTTAACCTGCCGTCGCAAAAGATCATTTTTTGCGACGGGGATCGCGCCGTCCCAAAAACTTCCATGTTTTATACTTCCCTTTCTTGTAGTGATCTATATCTATTTTTGAAAACAAAAACTTACCAGCATATATCATATTTTCTATTTATTATTTTTAGAAATAGATTTAAAACCAAAAAATATAGATAAATAATACGTTTATTTTTTTCAATTCAAAAAAGATATTCAAGTTGAAAACTTTTTTTCAACAGAATATTTAAACAAACTAAAAATACAAAGTCTTATAAATTACTAGGGGTGCTCGCGGTTTGACGGTTTGGTTGCGGCCAAAGAAATCTCAAATCCGTCATCCGTCCGCCAGATTGGCAGATTGGAGAAAATCAATCCGCAACCGTCTGCTCGTCATCACGCATCCGTCTAAAATGTGGCGGATTGGTTCGGTTCAGTCGGTTTTGGCGGATCAATATATCCGCTACTCACCCTTACTATTGATTACAATGTGACTTAACTCCCTGTTGATTGGTGTTAAGCCGCTAACAAGGATGTTATTTGCCCAATTGAATGTTATTGACTACATTATTATTTTAAACAAAACAATATTTTGTGTTAATAATAAACTTAAGCAAGTTAAAATGCTGCTAATGCTACTTGCTAACACAACTTCAAATTTTACTTTTTCACGTGTATAATTCATCCTTCTTCCTTATTAAATTAGCACGAAGCTTTGCAACCACAAAGTATTTAAAAAATATAATATTAAAAAAATTGTTATCATCAATTCATTTAAAACAATTTATATTTTGATCTGTAATTCATCTTTTCATGTTTGGTCTGACTCTCTTTCATAAATAGGTTAAATACGTGCAAGTATTTTTAATTAGAATGGGTTTCAATTCAGATCATCAAGATCTGCCTCATAGTGAGCCCATAGATACCTAACAATACCTCTATTTGGCACAAACTTATCACTTTTTAATTATCAAATACGTGTGAGAAAAAATGAATTTATTCATATATTTTGAAAATGTGTGAACAAAACACATTGTGATTATTTTGAAAATATGTATTGACCCTACTCAAAGTAATTAGTTCTACTATTTTAAACTAATAAAAATTTATGTTCTATGCATACAATTTCAAAATTTGTCATCAAAATTAGAATCATGGTGAGGTGATCACCAACTCATCTAAAATAGAGAGCCAATTTTATAACCAAATAAACTATAGTGAAGAACGTTGCATGTAACAAGTGATTTACGTACCCTTGCTCCAACAGGGCAATTCTTCCCAGAGGTCAGGCAAGCCCAGAATGCACCTCCCTTGGCATCAAGTGTCCTACCAATGACACTAACACTGTTCACCTGAACGAACAATATCCAGTACCCAGAAGAATCTCCGATCGCACGATAATCCGAAGGAGCTACAAGTGTTCCATTTATCCGAAACTCGATCCTACTCTTATATAGCCCTCTAAACACCACATTTTTCAACAAAAACCGGCCCCGAGGAACGTAAATTGTAGCTGTCTGAGTTGAATTGCATGCCGATCCCCAAGCCTTGTGAAATGCTTGTGTCGAATCGGATTTTCCATCTGGCTTTGCACCAGAATTTAGCACATTATAGTCTGCAGCATTTGAAGGACATGAAAAGAATGTTATGAAGAGAAAGAAGACAATAGAAGAAGAAAGCACTAAGTAGTTAGCCATGTTAGAGACAGAGAAAGAAAGTGAGAGAGAGCGTGTACTGTAGAATGTGAGATGGATGGTACAAAGACAGGTAGTAACGGTTATTTGTATTGTTGTGATGTGGATTTTTTGAACTAACTGTCCTTTGGGTGATTGGTTCTGATAATACAGTTTGTTCCAGTGAATGGATCGGACTAGTCCAAGCTCCTCAAGCCTAGGTCCAAATGATCGAGCTCACCGGATAACTTGCAAACAAGTTCAACGAGGAACGGGGTAGTCCCCCAGTAAACCCTCCGACGAGCAAGTTAAGAAGAGAAGTAGAGTATAGAGGAGAGATTAGAGATAGAAAAGCTTAACCGTCTTCTTGTCTTCAACGTTTGCTTATATCCTTTGGTAATCATTTCGCTATCCCTTCCGACCTGCCCTCCTCGCCGAAAGTCTATGCTGTAGCTTACCTTGTTCAGGGTAAAGGGGTCCTGTTTCGACGGAGAGGTGTTGTCATAATAAATGTTGTGATGGGGCACATTAATGGTGATGTGCCATGGCAATAACTTTGCAGATCTTTGTCTGCTGATGTGGCTCGCCCTTCACCTGCCACGTGTCTGAATGTCATTGGCTCTTTATGCCATGCTGGGTTCCAACTATTCTGGACTCCCCCAGCTGGGTTATGTACTGGGCTTCAAGTGATGGGCATGGGTTGTTTATAGTGGTCTATGGCCTCTATGGGCTTAGCCACGTCAGTAGTCCCCCATTCCCGAGTGCAGCTTTAGTCCAACGAAGGGAATACAAATGAAGGGAATGAGGATGCCAAGGAATGGTGGGGTGGGGGTTAACTGGCAGAGGTGACCGAGGGGGTGGGCTGACCGTGAGGTGGACCGACCGTGAAGGGTGGCCGAATGGGAGGGGCGACCACGAAGAGGGCCGACCGCGGAGGTTGGCTGAGTGGGAGGGCCAACCACGAGGGAGGACCGACCGCGGGGCGGGCCGACCGCGGGGAGGGCCGACCGCGAGGTGGTCCGATCGCGAGAGGTGACTGAGTGGGAGGGCCAACCACAAAGGGGGGGTGCGGAGGCCGACCGCAGTGGTTGGCCCAGTGAGAGGGGCGCAGGGCTCAAGAGGTGGCGTGTCACGTGGTGATTTGAAATGGAAAAGATGGGGTAAGGGGAGGGGACAGTGAATCGTGGTCGTACACGTGGCAACGTCTCGTGGGAGGAGATTAGGCGTTGGAGCAGAAATGAAACGGCGGGTCATTATGGGTGTTAAAAAGACAGTTTTAGCGGATGATTTGAAAAGTTTTTAAACTGGCGAAAATTAATTGAGATCCTTAGAATACAGGCAAACCATGGGCTTTTGGCATCATTCGATTCACCTACTTGTTTATAAAGAATCAAAACATTCCAAGTGTTACTTCATTTGTTGCTCACGATACACTTCTACAACACTTTTTCGATTTTCTTGCACCTGCATCGGAAACGATTCACAGGCATACCATAGAAATGGCCCAAGAAGAAACTGTGAATGTCAGGGTGGATCCATTGGACGATGATGATGTAGTGGAGTTAGCACAGCAATATAGGATGGAGTGGGTGGGGGAGTCGATTGAACGATCCCACAGTTCCACCATAATAGCAGCTACAAAGCCAGTTAACCAGGCAGAACCACACCACTGGCATACAAAGGCAGATAAATCAACAGTTACTGCAGCAGATTTGGAGGTTGTTCGCGAAAAATACCATGTGCCTGCCGAAATAGAGTTATCGTTGCTGATGTTGACGGAGAGGCCATCCGATGCTAGGCCAGGGCAGTTTGCCCTTTTTGAGGAGGCATTGAAAGGAGGACTGAGGCTACCCCTGTCGCAGGTTGTAGTAGATGTCCTAAATCGTTTAGAGGTGGCGCCGGGCCAACTAATGCCCAACGCGTGGAAGATCTTGCTGTCCTGTGCAAGTGCCTGGCCGAAGGTGAACGAAGGGGGGGCCATGACAGTGGACGAATTCTTCGCGTGCTACAAGGCCTTAGGGCAGCAAGAGACTTGGGTCACTCTGCAGGCAACAGCAGGGAAAGGGCTGGTGGCGGGGTTGCCGTCGTCGATCAAGGAGTGGAGACCACAGTGGTTCTATGTGTCTGCCAGTGGAGGAGTTGGAGTGCACACCATTTGGAAGGTGCCTACCAAGTCGATGGAGCCAAAGTTGGGGGCAGCAGCAGAGGAGAGGGTAAAAAGGGTAAAGGAGTGGAGAGAGAAAGAAGGGACCAAATGGGATAAGCTCATTCAGCCGTCTGCATTGTTTGAGGCAGGGTTGGGTCCATAGCTGAGCAGTGGAGACCTCGACCGAGCAGAGTTGGAAGCGAGGAGGAGGGCTCAAGAGGCGGAGGATCAGACCATCCTTGCGAAAGCCCAAAAATTCAAAGAGTCCCAGGCCGATCGACCACCAAAACCAATTGCAAGGGAGCGGATTCGACCTCGCCCCAAACCCTTGGGAGAGAAAGACTTAGGTGAATTTGTGCCATGACCGCCACCAATGGACCCTTTGAAGGAGAGGTCTTTGAAGGAGATGGAGGTGTTGGGCGTGGTGAAGAAGAAGAAGAGAGTGAGGCGGGGTGAAGAAGAGCCTGCCCAGAAGAGAAGGAGGGAAGCGAGGGCAAAAGAGGCCAGTCTGACCAAGGAGATAGAGGGTGGGGAAGTGGAGGAGACCCCAGGAAGGGTAATTGTCCCAGAAGTGGTGGACATTGCCTCAGAGGTCAGGGAAGTCGTGCCAGTGGTGCCGACCATCGGCGTATGGGTCGCGAGGGTCGCCCCCGAGTCAAGGAGGGGAGAACAGCCCCAGGGTGGGCCTGCACCCCAAGGAGGGGGAATTAGTTTGACTACAGCGATCTATCACACTTGTACGGTGGCTGGGCGGCTGGAAGGAGAAGAAGGCCCAGCCAGGGCAGGGGCAGACCGCCTGGTAGGGATTGTAGAAAAGGCAGCCCTGCGCTCAGCATCCAGATTCAATGAGGCTGAATTGCTGAAGGGGTTATGCTTCGCTCAAATGGAGGTAACCACTTTAACAGGGGGCTCTGCTGAGGAAAACGGCGGCTGCCAAACTCAAGGCAGATGAGGCCAAGGCTCAGCTTGTAAAGTTGAAGAAGGAGAGTGCAAGTTGGAAGACTGCCCATACTAATCTGCAAGCGGTTAAGGTGGAGCTGGAGGATACACGCCGCCAGGTTGTGTCACTCAAGTTCCAACTGGCTGGCGAGTAGAAGAGGTTGGATGAGGCCCAAAAAGCCTACGCAGTCGCAGTCGAACGACATGAAGAGGCAATGAGCAGTAACGAAGAGCTGGTCAGGCAGAAAGATGAGGCAGATGTGAAGTTTGGCAATCTGAAGAAGGAGCTGGAGGGCAAACGTGCCAAGGCAGTGGAGGAGAGGGGGAGACTTTAGAAGGAGTTGGCAACAGAGGGAGCCAAGGCGACGGTGAAAAAGGTGAGCCTGAAGAAGGAGTTGGAGGAAGAGAGGGTTAAGGCTGCGTCTGAAAGGGCGGCCCTGCAGAGGGAGCTAGACGAAGAGAGGGCGAAGGCAGCCTCTGAAAGGACGACTTACCCCGATCTGTGCGTCGCAACAGTGGAGCAGTTCAAAGGGTCTGCTGAATTTCAGATGGCAGTTGATGCCGCGGTCGCCAGCAGCTTGGCTAGGCAAGAATCTGGGGGGGCAGGCCCATCGGCGACGACCGTTGGAGGCAGAACTGAAGCAGAAGTTATTGAGAGCTTCCAGCGGTCAGACTTCTACAAGCACGAAATGGCTGAGTTCTAGGACAGTGGCTGAAAGATGTTCAAACATAGAGCTGAAGAACTGTTCCTAGACTTAGACCTCAGTAGTGTAACAATTGGTGAGGATGATGTGGCCCAAACCCCCCTGGATGAGCATATCGAAGAAGAAGACCCCATCTCCAGTGAGGAGGAGTAACTGGAGAAAAAGAAGGAGAAGACTTTGCACAGATATTGTTTTTGTTTTGTTTTGTTTGTTTCCCTTTTTTTTTTTCTTTTTTTTCTTTTTTTTTTGAATTGTTGTAATGAACTTATGTACAAAGTTGTGAATAAATAAAATTTTGGTTGTGTTTTGCATTTGACTGTGTTTACTTGTGCGTCTGAAATGGATGAAAACTTGTGATAAAAACTTGTAGTAAACTTGTGATAACAACCGAATTTAGGAATTCCTCAAGACGGAGTGGGATTGAAATTGTAATAGAACCTGGGTGCAGAGTAAAGTTAAGGACTCCTTAATGCAAAGTGAAATTTAAAATGTAATAAAGACTCAATGCAGAGTAAAGTTAGGAACTCCTCAATGCAGAGTGAAATTTAAAATGTAATAAAGACTCAATGCAGAGTAAAGTTAGGAACTCCTCAATGCAGAGTTAAATTTAAAATGTAATAAAGACTCAATGTAGAGTAAAGTTAGGAACTCCTCAATACAGAGTGAAATTTAAAATGTAAAGCTAGGATTCATTGACGTCGTAAGGAGCCCAATCTGAACCTGAAATTGTGGCGCTTGATTCGGCTGAGACTGGTTATGCTTAGGCTGGTTGAGGCTTGGCCTGGTCGAGTGCTTCATGCTCAGTCTGGATGAGGCTTTATGATGCTTAGTCTGGATGAAGCTTTATGATGCTCAGTCTGGATGAGGCTTTATGATGCTCAGTCTGGCTGAGGCTTTGTGATGCTCAGTTTGGCTGAGGCTTGGTCTGGCCGAGTGTTTCATGCTCAGTCTGGCTAAGGCTTTATAATGCTCAGTCTGGCTGAGGCTTTTTTATGCTCAGTCTGGTTAAGGCTTGGTCTGGCCGAGTGTTTCATGCTCAGTCTGGCTGAGGCTTTTTGATGCTCAGTTTGGCTAAGGCTTTATGATACTCAGTCTAGATGAGGCTTTATGATGCTCAGTCTGGCTGAGGCTTTATGATGCTCAGTCTGGCTGAGGCTTTGTGATGCTTAGTCTGGTTAAGGCTTTTTAGTGCTCAATCTAGCTGAGGCTTTAGGATGCTCAGTCTGCTTGAGGCT